TATATGATGAACACCTAAGAGGGATGAATGCATTAAGCAGAATTCTCAAACATGAACATTTTTGGCAACACAAAATAGTATCTCACATATCTTAAAGAACGCAGTTTGAAAAATACTGGCTGGCATTGAACAAAATGGCACTAGAAGGTAGGTTTCAGCTTCTCAGTAGGTTATACAGCACATGGTCAGTATCTAAGCATACTGGTAGGGTGCCAAGTATTTACTTCCAGACATAGGTGAACTGATATTTATATTTGGATGTCCTCACATCTTGTCCCACAAATGGAAACACCAATGACCCTGCTTGGATGTGCAGCCGTGGAAAAGTGAAACCAAAGGAAAAACAATCTAAGTCCAGTTTTCCAGAGGATGCTGGGTCATTGTGTACAGAAAACACAGTTGCAGAACACAACTGTATGTCAATTTCTAGCAATGTACAATCTGAAAATAATTTCATTTACAACATCAAAAAGAACAAATTAGTAATAAGACTTATGCACTGAAAATGACAAAATCTTTAAGAGAATTAAAGCCGTATTTTTTAAAAAGTCCTGTGTGCGTAGGTTGAAAGCGTCAATATAAAGATGGCAATACTCTCCCAATAATCTACAGATTCAGCATAATCTATCAAAATTCTATGAGGACCTGATTAGCTTTTTCCATTTGCAGAAACTGATAAACTCTTCCTCAAATTTATATGGATATACTGCTCATCGTAAGACAGATAAATCAATCTTGGAAAAAAACAAAATTGGAACATTCACACGTCACAATCTCAAAATTTACAAAAAAGCTGTAGTAATCAGGACCTTCGTGGTGGCCTAGCGATTAAGTCTCAGTACTCATCAGACATCAACTGAGTTGCATCCCCAGCCAGGAAGCTAACCCACATGATGCAGCAGACCTCTGTCTCTGGCCTGCTGCTCCCCTCAGCAGTAATTCCGTAAAACCGTCTGTTCTGCTCTCCACTCTGCCTCTGGTGAAACTTCTAAAACCCCTCAACTCCCCTCCCACATCTCTGGCCTACACCCCAGTTCTCTTATGCATAAATATTTTTAAAAAGATGCAGTAATTAAGATTTAAATAAGTGAAATAAGTCAGAGAAAGACACATTATATGACCAATCTCATATGTACAAGACAAACAAACAAAAATAAATAAGGTAAAATATACAGCAAACAGACTGGTGGTTGCAAGAGGGCAAAAGTATTATTAATACTATAACACATATTTGAAAGTTGCTAAGACAGCAAATCTTAAAAGTTCTCATCATAAGAAAAAAAAATGCAACTGTTAAGTGGTAACATGGTGATGATGTTAAATAGACTTACTGTGGTAACTTTTGTAATATATACAAATATCTTATTTTGCTTACCAAATATATATGTCCCACTGGTTAAAAATAAAAAGACAGCTTGGTACTAGGTTAAGGATAGGTGTGCTTTATATATATATAATACACATTCTAGTATGTGTGTGTACACACACACATACAAGTACATATAGATAAATGTAGAATATGTATATACACATTCTAACATATATACGTATATATGAGAACCAATATTGAGATTCTAGAACTAAAGTCCCACATAGGTAGTAAACTGAATTTCAACAAGGGTGTCAAAAAAATTAAATGTAAAAAGAACTTTTTCAATAATGATGCTGGGATAACATGAAACTGAATTTCTACTTTACACCAAAGACTTAAATGTAAGAGCCAATATCACACTGTACTTGAAAACAGACATAAATCTTCATGACCTTGGATGTGGTGTTGGTTATTTAGATAATGACACCCAAAGCAAAAGCAATAGAAGTTAAAAAACAAAAGAGAAACTATTCATATCAGTATTGGAAACTTTTCTTCTTAAAAGGACATCAAGAAAATGAAGAAAGTTCACTGAATGGACAAAAATACTTGCAAATTGTACATCTAATGTATTTAAAAGATATAAAGAACTGACAACCCACCAATAATTGACAAAACCCAATTTTTAAATGCACAAAGGATCTGAATAGTCACTTCTCTTGCATCTGAGAAATGCAAACAGGTCCACAATAAGAAACCATTTGCCTCCACAAAGATGGCTACAATCAAAGAGATAATAATGAGTGTTGGTAAGATGTGAAGTTGGAAATCTTGTATACTGCTGCTGGGAATGTAAAATGACTCCGGGAAACCAGTTCCTCAAAAGGTTAACCATAAATTTTAGATTAATTATATGACCCAGAAATCACACTTAGTTCCAGCCACACAAATGTTTACATTTCCCAAATGTATGTACCCCAAAGAAATGAAGCGTGCCCACACTAAAATTATACATCATCCACTGATGAGTGGGTAAACTGATGGGCACACACACATATACACATACTCACATACACACACACACACACACAGAATATTACTCAGCCATAAAGTAATAAAGTACTGATACCACTATTAAAAATCTAGAACTCTTTATGACACTACTGAGATGCCAATGAGAAGTGATGACATGTTATATGATCCTATTTATATGAAATGTGAAGAAAAGGCAAATCTATGGAGACAGCAAGTAGTGACTGCCTAGGGAGGAAAGAGAGGGTTGGAGAGGGTTGGCTGGAAGGTGCTGTATAAGACTATGGGTTTTTGGGAGGGAAAGTGTGAAATGTTTTACAATTGATGATGGTGATGATTGTCCAAATATGAATACACCAAAAATCACTTAATTATTTACTCTAAGTGTGTAATTTACATGGTATGTGAATTATATCTCAAGAAAACGATCACCTCTTAAAAGACTCTCTTCCTCCATGACACCTTTCTTGAGTCCCCTCTGCCAAACACAAATCTGGCCATTCTAATCACGTATCTCTACCACTTCCTGCTAGGACCTGAGCAACACAACTGACTTTTTTGGTGGTTGTCTGTTTTCCTCTACTAAAATTGTGGCTTTCCATGACCAAATTGTGGCAGGGCTTTGGTTCATTTTTTACTTGGAACCTACTGTATCTGTACACTGTATACTATGTGAGAGGGTACATAAAAAATACTTGCTGAAAGACCATCTGAACAGTCGTCATATGGACAAGGCAGTGCATTTGTTTCTTATACCCCAAAGGACTGAAAAATGGAAGCTATAATGACACAAATTTTAAGACTTTCCAAATAACTGGGGTTGTCCTTACTGTCAAAGAAGGTTTACTGGATTCTGTGACTTCTCTGAATTGACATTCAGTAGTATAAATGTATGTGTATATTTCTAGGGAGAAAATTCATAACTTCTAAAATATTCCAGAGAGCATGTAACAAGATGGTTAAGTTCAATATTTTTTAAATGTCATGAACAAGGAGATGAATTTTAATTAGCAAATTTTAGTTACTGGAACATTATTCAAGGAAGATTTCTGACTAGATTCTTCCACTTCAGTAATTACTATATAAAAAGAACACATACTATTAATAACTCCATAGTTTCCAGCTATTCATTTAAAAGTATTTGTATGACAAGTGTTGTAGAAATCTTAAACAAGACAAAGTTCCTGCCCCCTTACAGGATACATTCAATGAGGTGGAGACAAAAACTAAGTAAACAAGAATATTTCATATCATATAGTAATCCCTACAATACAGAAAATACAGTAATATAATGGAATAGGAAACAATGGAAGTGGAAAGGCTTAGCTAGGGTTATCAGGGAGTTTCTCTGAGGTTACTTTTGAGCTGAAATGAGAAGGAGCCCAGGGAAGAATACTTCAAGAATAAAGAGCAAACAATACAAAGATTCTGAAGTGAGAATACGAGCATGAGTTCAAGGGAATGGAGCCATGTTTAACTTCCACTGTAACATTCAGAAGAGTCTCTCCCACCCACGTTCAACAGAAGTACTCAAGCTAATTCAGCATAATGGGAATTCAACTCACTGAAATACAGTTTAGAAGAACATTTACTGCTTAGAATCATCATGAATTTGCTTACTTCAAGACAATACCACTGGGCAAACTGAGTGAATGTTTTAGGGTTTTGTATTAAGAAAGAAAAAACATAAAACAAACATCTAAAAATTTTCAAGGAGTCTTCTATGTAGATGGTTTTACAAGCATAACCATTATGGAGTATATTCGATAAATAGAATTCTGGGTTCAATGTGCCCTCCAATCCTAGAGCTGGGTGTTTTGCTTTAGGTTATTCATACAGTATAAAGAAGGCACAATAAGGCGAGGCTACACCCAGTGCACCCAATTAGAAAAAAAAAAGTGGATTTCAGTTCAAAAGGAGCTGTCCAAGAAGCAACAGTGGAGGTGTAAAAGTCATCTCAGTAATTGAAATTTGGGCTACTGAATCGCCAAGTTGTCTATATACATACATATACATACGCACACACACACACACATATATACATATGTATGTATTTATATTTAATTGTATAATGTAATAGTTTATTTTTACATTATTTTGTGCATTTTCCCATCTCAGTTGTAATCCCCTTGGGCTTCCAATCACCAAATCACCCATGTGCCATCACCAAGTTATATTTTTAAAGGGACAAAAAAAGAGCCTGAACCAGCGAGGGCCCAAAACCCAGTTCAAGTCACAAGGAATTAAAATTAGCGATGCTGACTCTGACACTATCTCACACAAAGAACACTGCATGGTGACCCTCAAAGAGGGCAATTCAGTGGGAGCCTTCCTGACTCAAAGGCAGGTCAATGAGGGAAAGAGGCGAGGAGTTTTGAGCAAGAGGTGTGTACGGGGCCAGCTAGAGGGTGCCCAGGCACGCATGCACTCCTGGCCCTTCTGCAGAGGACCTCAGGGGGCACCCGGCGGGGTGGGGGATTCCCTGCTGATGCTCTGGTATCTCCCATACACCGCTCTACCTTCTGGAACCCGTACCCATCTTGTGCAATCTCACAGATACCCAGGTGGGGGAGCAGAGACTCCCGGGGTGACCCCTCCCTGGAGCATCCTCCCTACAGCTGGACCGGGCGGCTCAGCGGAGCTGGCCTGCACTTACCTTCGGGAACCGGGGGCAGCTCCGGCCGCTTTCCGCGCGAGAGGAAGGCTTTAGGCAGCAGCAGGGACACTGCCAGAACGAGCCCCGAGGCCAGGGCCACCCTCTGCACGGTGGAGTAAGCCATAGCCACACGCCCTCGCCGCAGGTGCAGCCTCCAGCCGGAACCGGAACCGGAACCGCAGCGCCCGCGGCCTCCGCGACCGAATCTCGGACTGCGCGACGGCGCCGCGCGAGGGACAAGAGCGCGAAGCAACCGCGTCTCCAACTCTGCTTCGAGGGGCTGGGCCTCTCAGCAGGTAGCTGTAAATCATTCCTGCGCCCTCGGAACAAATGGAACAAGCTAGTGACGCCTGTCATTCCCCGCGGCGTGGCGATATCCTGATACCTAAGTAACTGACACGCCCGCTTACCACCTCTGCTCACAGGCGTCCCAGACCACACCATCACTTTCCTCATTACTGCAGTGAGCTCGATCCTTCAGCATCTGCCCACGCCCTCGCCAGTCTCCACCTGCAGCCAGTCGCGATAACACTAACATACAGTTCTAATCACCTCTTCGCACAGCTTAACATCTTTCAAAAACTTTTTCTCAGACCACAGTCAGACTCTGTAACCTCAAGATGTTGCATGAATTGTTCTAACCACTGCTCTCTCCAGACTAGATCTTTTGTTTTTTTCCTAGCATATTCCTAGGAAATCAGCTTTACTTGACCTGTTCCCACTGCCTGGAAAATTCCTGGCCATCTCCACCTGTTAAAAGCCTCTCTGAAGAACAGCTGAAAATTATTACTCTTGTGAAACTTTTTCAATCAGCCTCTCCTTCCCCTGCATCTCCACAGCTCTTTTCTGATAATCTTTATTCCTTCATTTAGTAGTCTTTCAGTTCCTGCTAAATATCAAACCCTGACTTGGCAGTATGGGATCTGATGAATAAGATAGAGTCCCTTATGGGTACAGGTATCTAAGCAAGAAAATGCAGGAAGTAGCTTGGATATCAGAGCCATGAGCTCACTGAAGTTGGAAAAGTTTGTGAGATTTGACTTGTTTGCCCTTTTTTCTTAAGGCTAAGTTACTAAGCATACAGGTGGGAGGAGTTAAAAGGCTATTCTAGGAAGAGGCTACAAAGAAAGCAAAGGCTTGAAAGCTAGAAGCTTCCGTGGTTCCAAAAACCATTAGTAGTAATTCATTTTGGCTTTGACATAGGATTGGTGGCAGGACATGAAATAAGACTACAAATATAAACAAGGGCTAGACTATGAAAAGGTTAGATATGATTTCCAGTTAAACATGGCAGGTGGAATACACCCATTTATCTTGTCTTTCCCCAGGCAACTCAGGAAAATGAACAGAGACAACAGTATCAACTACAAAGCTAAAAAGAATGGACGAGAACATGAAAGCAGACAAGAAATGTCAAAATTCTTTAAGAAGCAACACTGCCCGATAGAAATATAATGCCAGACACATACATAACTTAAAAAATTTTAGTAACCACATTAAAACGTGGTTTTTCAGAACAGAAAAACTCTCCATGGACCACAAGGCCCAGGAAGAATCTACCTTCCTCCGGTTGCTATAGGAATGGACTCTCCCAGCCAAAGGCCCCACAAAGGGGAGGATTCTGACTGCACCCTTCTCAGCAGACTTTAGCTCCACTCAGCCCAGGGCTGACCTGCAGGGCTCCTTGATATACGGTGCGCAAGGTGCAACAGGTTCAGCCACTTTCCTACAGCTGCTGTCAATTAGTCGTTGACAATCACTGGACCTTTAGCCTACACTCAAGTTTGTTGACTTGTTTCTGTGACACACTGGTGATTTTCACAAACTCGATTTTTTTCTTCTGATGATACACATCTTGAGTCCAGAAAGCACAATAAGCAGATTTGGGAAGTCAGAGAAGAGAAGGAGATAGAATTGGTGACTGCTGATATTATGGAGCCAGGAGTGCATTATGATTCAAGACCTCTTGAAAAACACAGATCTTACCATAAAGCAAGTGCTCAGATTTTCCAACAAATTATTGATGGGGAACTTAGATCAGAAATCTGGTGGCTGTTGGCTAAAGAGAAAGTGTACAGCCCACTCTGTAGGGAGCCAGTATAGAAAGGTAAGATGAATGATGCAGTGATCGTTGGAGAACTACCGGGGAGGGTTGTTTTCCCTAAACAAAGAGACTTGAGCAAGTTTATGCAAGGAAAGGAGGAGGTGGAAAATAATGGAGCAAGGGGGAGCTGGTACCAGGACAAAGCCTAGATTCTGGAGCAGACTTGATATCTAGCAAGGCCTCAGCAATAGAGATCAGCTTAGGGAACAGGATGTGGGGATGAGTTCAGGCATATATAAAAGGAAAGATGTTGGGAAATCTAATAGGGTAAGGGGGACTTGTTTCTTATTGCCCCAATCTTGGCAAAAGATACAGGCAAGCTATTATCCGAGGATCAACAAGAAGGACAAGAACTTGTTGAGTGTAGTGAAGGTTGGATATGTTAGAAGTATTCAGAAGTCACCCTAGCTCAGCAAAGGGGCCACCGGTGGGGGCTTAAAGACAGGCAGGAATTGCCTGTTCTCTCCCTAAAGACACACAGAGAATCCTCCAAGCAACACAGTCTGGGCAAAGAGGGAGGGAGACTGGGGAGGATGTTAAGAGACCACTTACTAAGCTAAGTTGCTACTGGAAGAAAGGGAAAATGAAGGCTTACAAAGGGGAGGGGGCTGGCGTGGATCTCCCTGATAATTTGTGGTTACATCAGGATTGAAGTCCACACCTCCCAATTCCCAGGCCAGGATTCTCCCCATGGTCTCTGAAAATCTGCCAGTTCTTAGAGCAATAATGAGGGAATTGCCTTCTTAAGAAAAGCTAAACCAGGGCCTTCCCTGGTGGCACAGTGAATTAAAGCACAGCACAGCACTACGAAACTAAAGCCACTTCAGCACGAGTTCAATTCCCGGCCCCGGAGGTGATCCCACATAGCATGGCAGACCTCTCCTGGCCCTCCTGCAGCTTCCCTCAGCAGTGTACTTCATTTATCTATCTATTCTGCTCCCTACTCTTTGTCTCTGGTGAATTCTCTCATGGCCCCTGCACCTCTGCCCTGTACCCCAGTTCTGGATGCATAAATAAATAAATCTTAAAAGAAAAAAAGTTAAACCCTCATTAGCCGAATTTAAGAAAGCTGCTATTTCTGTGTCCCTCTCCTGTCTGGCAGCCTATGAGAAGTGCCCCAGTGCTTACCACAGTTGGAAGGCTTGGTCCACAAAATCAATCCTTAAGCCAAAACATCTTTATCATCTAGGCACTGGCTGAACTTTTACATGGTGGGAGGGAGTTGAAGGAAATAATACAAAACATTTAGTTATACACACTTATGAAGTAAACTTCTCCTGGGATTGAAGTTCTTTCTGGGAGACAGCCACAAAGAACTGAGGGAAGGATTGGAGGACAAGGGAAAACTCACACAAGGTGTCTGGAGGAGGAAAAGAGCCTAGATGGGGAATAAAGATAATGTGGAAAAGAGGTACCATGTGGAAAAGTAGAGGAAAGGAGACCTAGAAAGTAGAAAAAGGATGAGAAACAACAGCCTTCTCTCAAACTCCCTGCCCAGGGGCCCCCAGGTGCTGTACACACAAGGCTCCTGTCTCTGAGCCCCAGACACCCTGCTCCTCGCAAAAGACTTCAGTGACTCCACCTTGGCTGCCGTCTTACATCTCAGCTCACTGGCCTTCCAAGTTGCTGCGCATCACGCTGCCCTCTCTGGACCAGCATGGGATCTGCTTATTCCTCTCTCTGGGTGCTTATTTACCCAAAGAGCATCCCCCTCTTCCCTTTCCTCCTCCCCCTTTGCAGCTGGTCTTCCCTGTACAAGGCCCCAAGAAAATTACACCTCTTCCAGGAAGCTCTCCTAGACTTTCCAGCCCATGCTGATTCTTCCTTTCACTGAATTCCTGTGGACACTTTTTCTTATAGGCTTGTTGGACTCTCTCGCCTATGCAGGAAGTCTGGGAAGATAGGGTGATTCTTCTCCCAGGGCATGGCTGAGCATGGAACTGGCACCCAGCAGACACATATTGACATGTGAGGATGCTGGTTTCACAAACACACCCCTGATCCGGCCATTGCCCAGAGCAAGGATATTTCCATAGAAATCAATGAGCAGAGGTTCTTTGAAGCATCACAGAGACATATTTCAAAAAATCCCTGATCTTGCCCACCATAGGTCACTCATGGTACCTTACCCGCGAAATTTCCCCGGTAAGTGACAATGATGGTTATTTTGATATGTCCACAGTAGGTCATATGACCAGATATGTGACCAGATATATTACAGATGTTTCTTTGTTTAGAATGATGGATGAAATTAACATTTACATAGGCGGAATTTGAATAAAGCAGACTGTGCTCCAAATGTGCTGGGTCTCGTCTAATGAGCTGAAAGCCTGAATAGAACAAGCACACTCCACCACCAGCGCTGCTAGAAGCCTGCAGCAAGAGGCCTTCACACTGGACCTGCAGCATGGTTCTTCCTGGATCTCCAACCTGCCAGCCCACCCTAAAGATGTGGGCTAGCCAGCCTCTACAATCACCTCAAAGGGGCAACTTCCTTAAGAGGAAAATAAACAGCTGTATACATGATAGAGAAGATCCCAAGGATGTACCTTGACCTCTGGAAATGATTTTAAAGAAGAGCTCATGAGGGGTCCACAGCAGCCCCATTGTAGAGAGTCACTGACACTTACTATTGGCAGAAAATCATGGTGGTTAGCAGGTGGTTAGTCATCCAGATAGCCAGGGCACTGAGTAGAAGAGAGCAAGGCCTCTGATTCCAAAACCCACAATAAAGAAGCCAAAAAGGGAAGTCAGAAACAGGATAGGGCCTGGGCAGAATTTCCATCAGGGAGAAGGAAGATGTACTAAGCACTTGTCAGCTGTGAATGTACAAAAATTTTGGTTGTCCTCTATTTTTTTTTTTTTGACATTATGCACAAGAAAACCTCACATTCTCAGCACAGACTCCAACAAGCAGTACCTCCCTTTGCCCCTAGGGTGCAGACACATCACTGTTTCCCCAATCAGACATAGCATGCCTGGTATTGGTTTAGAAATTGTCTATGAGAAGGAACAGAAACACCTGTGCTGCCTATTTTGCTGGCTTACGTGGTGCCAGAGGCAGATGTTCGTG